ATAATATTACATTTTAAATTTTTAATTGAATCTCTGTGAATTACAAAGTAACAGATATTTATTCAATGAGTGCCAGGCTTATATTGTTCTGACACTAATCCCTTCACCACTGCCTATTACTGCCACCAGTGTCACCAGTTTCCCTCCCATGACACCTTCCTCCCCTGCCCCTCCCCCCCCAACTTGCCTCTTTGTCAGGCACTTTTCCCTTCTCTCATTGTCCTAGTGTTCCCTTTTCAAACTTGCCACTCCATATCTGCCCTTATGCCAACCTTCCTATTGAAGAACAGTTTTCCTGCTTTCATTTCTACTTATGGTGAACATTTGCCATTCCCTTATAAGGTTTCTTAATATCAAGCATATAAAAGAGATCATTTATAGTGTGTTCTTTTCCCTCTGATTTCATTCTACATAGTACTCTACAGATCCACCACTTTAAAGCAAATACCATGACCTCATTGTTTCTTAGGTCATGTAGGATTTCATTGTGTATATGAACCATAGTTTCTTGGCCCAGTCATCTGTTTGTGGTCATTTGGGTTGTTTCCATATTTTGGCTTTTCTATATAGTGCTGCAGTGAACATAGGAGTGCAGATGGCTTTTCTGATTTGTTGTTTGGGGCACTTGGGGGAATATTCCCAAGAGTACAATTGCTGGGTTATATTGAAGTTCAATTTGTATGCTTTTGCTGAATGTCCATGATGTTTTCCAAAAAGACGGGACAGTCTACATTCCCACCAGCAACTAATGAGCACCCCTTTTCCCCTGCATCCTGGCAAACTCTTGGTGTGATTCTTTCTGCTAATTTCTGCTAAGTTTCAAGTGCTAGTCTCTGTTGTGAGATGCTATCTCATTGTTGCTTTGATTGCATTTCCCTGATCAGTATTAATATAGAGTAGTTTATCATACGCTTCTTTGAAACATATGAAGAAGTTCATATTCATCACTCTCCCCATTTTTTTATTGGTTCGATATTTTTTCTTGTTGAGTTTTACCAGTGCTTTATATATCTTGGATATTAACCCTTTGTCTGATGGATGTTGGATGATTAATTTCTTCCAGTATGTAGGCTATGCTTGTATCCTGTCATCACTTACTTTGAGTTGCAGTGGTCGCTTCTTAGTTTAATGTAATCCTATTTGGGTCTAATTTTATTTGATTGGTCAGTGGTATTTAATCCTTAAAGATGCCTGTAGCTTCAATGTCATGAAGTATTTTGTGTATATTTTCTTCTTTGTAACTTACAAATTCTGATCTGATATACAGGTCTACTATCACTTTGCATTTGACTGTGCACAGCATTAAAAAATAACTCTACATTCATTTCTTTGCATGTGACTGTCCATTTTTTCTAACACTCCTTGTTGAAGAGGATTACCTAGCCACATTTCATAATTTTTGCTCCTTAATAGAAGATAAATGACCATATAATTTAGGGTATGTCTCTAGATTTTCTATTCTTTTCATTGAACTCAGGGTTTGTCTTTATTTCTGTTCCATGCTGTTTTTTTTCCCTTTATTTTATTTTTTTTTTTTTAAAGTTGTAGATTTACAATTTTTTGTGCTTTGGTTTCAATTATACAATGATCAGATACCCATCCCTCCACCAGTGCCCATTTTCCACCACCATGGATAATATCCCTCCCACCTCCATCCCCCCATCCCCCCTATCTCTGTGGCAGGGCAATCCCCTGTGTTCTCTCTCTCCTTTTGGGTGTTGTGGTCTGCAAAAGAGGCATTGAGTGGCAAACATGTTCAGTCCATAGTCTACTTTCTACATGCATCTCCCCTCCTGGGAGGATCCTCCAAACATCCTTTATTTGGTGCTCCCTTCTCTATCTGAACAGCCCTTTCCTCTAGGATACCCGGCTGGCCTCTAAGTTATGGAGTAATCCTCCTGGTGCTGATCTCAGCTATTCTTGGGTATTAATCTCATACTTTGTTACTTTATATCCCCCAGATGAATGCAATCTTTCTATGTCTATCCCTCTCTTTCTGACTCATTTCGCTTAGCATGATACTTTCCATATTGTACCACTTGTATGTAAATTTCATGACTTCATCTTTTCTAAGAGCTACATAGTACTCCATTGTGTAGATGTACCAAAGTTTCTTTAACCAGTCATCTGTTCTTGGGCATTCAGGTTTCTTCCAGTTTCTGGCTATTGTAAAGAGTGCTGCAATGAACAAACAAGTGCAGATGTCACTTCGACTATACATTTTTGCCTCTCTGGGATATATTCCCAGGAGTGGTATTGCTGGGTCAAATGGGAGCTCAATTTCTAATTTTTTGAGAATCGTCCATACTGTTTTCCAGAAGGGCTGAACCAGCGGACATTCCCACCAACAGTGAAGGAGTGTCCCTTTCTCGCCACATCCACGCCAGCATCGGTTACTTTTGTTCTTTTGAATGTGGGCCAGTCTCTGAGGTGTGAGATGGTATCTCATTGTGGTTTTGATCTGCATCTCCCTGATGATTAATGATGTAGAGCATTTTCTCATGTGCTTTTTTGCCATTCGGATTTCTTCTTTGAGAAAGTTTCTGTTCATTTCATTGCCCCATTTTTGGATGGGGTTGGATGTTTTCTTCTTGTGGAGTTTAACCAGTATTTTGTATATCCTGGATATCAACCCCTTGTCAGATGAATATCCTTTCCCATTCTGTAGATTGTCTTTGTATTTTGGTCACTGTTTCTTTGGAGGTGCAGAAGCTTCTTAGTTTAAGATAGTCCCATTTATCTATCTCTGTTTTCACTTGCTCGGCCAGTGGCGTGGCATCTTTGAAGATACCATTAGCTTCAATGTCATGGAGGGTTTTGCCAACTTTATCTTCAATGTACCTTATGGTTTCTGGTCTGATGTTGAGGTCTTTAATCCATTTTGATCTTACTTCTGTACATGGTGTTAGGCAGAGTTCTGAGCCTATTTTTTTGCATGCAGCCGTCCAGTGATGCCAACACAATTTATTAAAGAGGCTTTCCTTACTCCACTTCACATTACTTGCACCTTTATCAAAGATTAGATGAGCATATGATTGAGGAGAGATGTCAGTGTATTCAACCCTGTTCCATTGGTCTGCAGTTCTGCCTTTGTTCCAGTACCATGCTGTTTTAATTACTACTGCTTTATAGTACAGTTTGAAGTTGGGGAGAGTGATGCCTCCCATCTTCTTTTAGCTATTTGAGGGAGGTCAGATATTGTTTCACATCAATTTTAAGAGTGTTTGATTTATTTCTTTGAAGATTTTCATGGACATCCATTTAGGGACTCTATTGAATCTGTATGATAAATGCTTTAGAAAGCATTTCCATTTTGATAATGTTAATCTTTCAAATACATGAGCAGGGTATGTGTTTCCATTTTTTGGGTCCTATTTTATTTCTTTATGTATTGTTTTGTATTTTCCATTGTATATCTTTCACATTTTTCGTTAAGCCAACTCCTAAGTACTTTAATGACATTCAAACTATAAAAGCAATATAATTAGGAAGAAATAGCTGAAAATATGTGAATGATTGTGACCAATTTTTTACATGCTAAGTGAAGACTAGTTTTTAATTTTCATTTATATATATACATATATTAAGAGTTTATGATGTCTCACTAATAAAAATTAAAAAAAAATAAAAAGTTTTTTTTTACAGGTATGTATTTTATTTTTTTGGAGGCACATTTAATATTTTTTGACTTATAATTTTTTTTCAATTTAAATTTTATTTGTTTTTTACAATGATTTTAAATCACTTTTTTTTAGACTTATAAATTTTTGTGCTTGGGTTTCAGTTATACAATGATCAAGTACCCATCCCTCCACCAGTGCCCATCCTCCACCACCACGGGTCCCAGCATCACCCCCAACCCCCATACCCCCATCCCCCCCCCCCCCCCCCCCCCGTCCCACCCTGCCTCTGTGGCAGGGCATTCCCCCTTGTTCTCTCTCTCTTCTTTTGGGTTCTGTGTTTTGCAAGAGAGGCATTGAGTGGCAATCATGTTTGGTCAATAGACTACTTTGAGCATGTCTCTCCCACCCTGGGAGGGTCCTCACAACACCCTTTATTTGGTGCTCTCTTCACTATCTGAGCTTCCTTTTCACCTAGCACATGTTGAATCAATGTGAGACAGACACTTACAAAGCTATTTGTGATTAGGCTTCAGTCATACAGTGTTCCAACAGCCATCCCTCCACCAGTGTACATTTCCCAGCACCAATGTCCCCAGATTCCCTCCTATCACCCCCCCTCCACACCTCTAGCCTGCCTCTATGCAAGTACTTCTCTCTCTTTCACTCTCTCTTTCACACACACTCTGTCTCTCTTTGGGCATTGTAGTCTGCAATACAGATACTGAAAAATTATTGTGTATATCCTTTCACCTGCTTTTAACACCCAGTTCTTGTCCAGTGTGATCATTTCCAGGTAATATTGTAATACTTTCTCTTACCTGGCCTCTGCCCCACACCCAGTTGTGGTAGATTTCAACCACTGACTAGTCAGAGTCTAGTTATTTATACTTTTATTAACCCTTTTGCTTTTCGGAAAAAGGTTGACATATATATGTATGTATATATATATGATTTGTGTTATGTATAATACTTTGTCTTAAATCATGCTGACGGTATTTTGTGGGATAGAATACCTATACCTTTCAGTATAAAAATTAGTATGATAACTTACTATGAACTGAACTGGTTAATGTTAATAATGTGCCTAGATTGTAAATTCAAGTATCCCCATCAGTGACACTCTTCCATCTAAATTCAGTATTTGTTTCAAGTTATTAGCACCATCAGCACAAATTTCCTTTAAATAAAAATGAAGAGAGTGTTTATGTATAGAGTGTAATTTTGTTACTAGTTATATAATCAATCAAATCTTAAGCACCTAGGGAGCTTTAATTAAGATTTTTATGGAGTAAAATAGCTATATGTTATAGATATTGATTTATTTGATTTTTAACTGTTAATTGTCTAAATGTTTTTTTTTCTTTCTTTTTTCAATAGGGAGGACTGAAAAACAGCAAGCATGAATGTACCCTATCTTCACAAGAATATGTTCATGAATTACGTTCTGGTATTTCAGATGAGAAACTTCTTAATTGCCTGGAATCTCTGAGGGTTTCTTTAACCAGCAATCCTGTTAGGTAGGTGGATCTTAAGATGTTTGTATCATTCTTGTATATCATTATTATGAATACAGTTTGGTTATTTATTCATTTAGTCATTCATTTTTTGAATTGGGGACATACCCTTTAGTTCTCATGCTTGCTTCTGGTTCTGTGCTCACGGATCACTTCTGGCAATGCTTATGGGACCATATGTACTTCTGATAATTGACACAGGGTTAGTCAAATATAGTGAAAGTGACTTGACTTGTATTATCTTCCCAGCCCATTCATTTATGCATTTTAACTTCAAAATTTTCACCAGAAGTAAAATGTTAACTAATAATGTAGCAGTGTCTGATTATGATATCTTACACATTAAAAATATTGACCATTCCAGCTGCCTTCCTTTCCCTTCCCGCTCTCCTCCCCATCCTTCCCTGTGCATGATGCAGGCTTCCAGCTATGGAGCAATTTTCCTGGTCCTTGTGTCTACTGTCTTCGGGTTTCAGACTTGTGTTATGATTTTTATACTCCACAAATCAGTGCAGTCCTTCTATATCTGTCCCTCTATTTCTAATTTCACTTAGCATGATACTCTCCATATTCACTCTCTCTATTCACTTATAAGCAAATTTCATGACTTCATCTTTCCTAACAGCTACATAGTATTCCATTGTGTAGATGTACCAAAGTTTTTTTAACCAGTTATCTGTTCTCATGCACTTTGGTTGTTTCCAGGTTTTGGTTATTGTGAACAGTGCTCCAATGAACATATAGGTACAGATATTATTTCTACTGTGCTTTTTTGCATCCTCAGGATGTATTCCCAAAAGTGGTATTGCAGGGTCATATGGAATTTCAATTTCTAGTTTTTGAAGGACTGTCTATCTTGTTTTCCAAAAAGACTGGACAAGTCGGCATTCCCACCAACAGTGAAAAAGTCCCTTTTTACTCACATCTATGCCAGCACTGGTTGTTTGTGTTCTCTGTGTGTGCCAGTCTCTGTGGAGTGAAATGATATTTCATTGTTGTTTTGATTTGCATCTCCCTGATGATTAGGAATGTGGAGCATTTTTTCATGTGCATTTTGGCCATTTGTATTTCTTTTTTGAGGAAGCTTCTGTTCATTTCTTCTTCCCATTTTTTGATGGGATTGGAGGTATTTTTTTTGTGCAATTCTACTTGTGTCTTGTATAACCAGCTGGAATAGAGAACAGATCACTAAGAGATCACTAACGTTGGTTGGAGGAATCGGTCAGGATGGGAGATGTATGCTGAAAATATATAAAGGAGCAAGCATGATAACCTCTCAGTATCTGCATTGCAAACCATAATGCTCAAAACTACATAGCATAGGGAATATTGTCTGCTGTGTAGGCAACGGGAAAGTGGGAAAGTGGGGGTATACTGGGGATATTGGTGGTGGGGAATGTGCACTGGTGGAGGGATGGGTGATCATTGTGTGATTTTTAACTGGAACATGAAAGCTTGTAACTATTTCTTATGGTGATTCAATTAAAGAAAATAAAAGAAACCTGGAAAAAATAATATTGACCACTAATTGTGGGAAGTCTCAAAAAAATGGAGATGTTACTGGGCCCGCTCGAGCAAATCAATGAACAACAGGACGACAGTGACAGTGACCACTAATATGAGATTTTAAACATAAAAATATTGAACAACTTTGTAAACCATAATGTTCATTTAAAGTGTAAGAGGGAGAATGGAAAAAATAAATTAATTAAAAAAGAATAATAGTGCAATTTTTCTTTGATTATATAGAATATGAATCCAGTAGTTAAATTTCCACTTTAGTATGGAAATTTTTAAAAATTATGTAATTGTGGGGCTGGAGCAATAGCACAGTAGGTAGGGCATTTGCCTTGCATGCGGCCGACCTGGGTTCGATTCCCAACATCCCATATGCATATGGTCCCCTGAACACCGCTAGGAGTAATTTCTGAGTACAGAGCCAGGAGTATCCCCTCTGCATTGCTGGGTGTGACCCAAAAAGCAAAAAAAAAAAAATTATGTAATTGTATATTTATTTTGATGTATTAAGTATGTTAGTGCTATGGTATTCCTTTTTAAATTTAGAAGGGGTTATACTTTTCAGTTATTCTACATTTTAAATAAATAATGTTTACTAATTTGTTATTAGCGATTTCAAGTATTATATTGCTTTAACAAATAAAAAAATACGATATATTATTAATAAAAATCTTTCATATTGTGTACACTAAGCTATTACCTAATTGTTGAGATATTTTAAAACTTTTTTATTGATCACTGTGAAATCGAGCCTTACAAAACTCTTCATATTTAGATTTCAGTCATACAGTATTCTAATACCCAGCCCTCTACCTGTGTACATTTCCCAGCACCAGTGTCCCCAGGTTCCCTTCCATCATCCCACACCCCCCACCTCCCAACTGCCTCTATGGCAGGTACTTTTCCTCTCTCTCTCTCTCTCTCTCTCTCTCTCTCTCTCTCTCCCCCCTTTTGTGCATTGTGGTTTTCAATATTGATACTGAACGGTTATCAAGAATATCCCTTACCTACTTTTAACCCTCAGATATTGTCTCAGCCCCACACACACTTGTGGTTAGTTCCAACCATTGACCATTGTTCCTAATCTCTGTTTTCCCTTGCCATGGATAATAGTCTTCTACTATGTTATTTTTATATACCACAGATGAATGCAGTTGTTCTATATCTGTCCCTCTCCTTTTGACTCTTTTCACTCAGCATGATACTTTCCATGTCCATTCACTTATAGGCAAATTTCATGACTTCATTTTTCCTAATTGCTAATTTTTAAGGTGTATGTTCCTTAGCAATGGTGGGCTTCAACTTATATTCCTTTATTAAAATATGAACATTTTATAACTGATTCCATATAAAACTATTTTTATAATGTAAACTATTTTTAGTATGAAAATGCTCTAAAATACTCTGGTATTTTATTACATAATTTATAAAATATTTGGTTTAAAAATTACCTGATTAAAGTATGATGTGATTCTGATTGTATTCAAGGTTTTTTTGCTACACATTTGGGGCCATATTTTTAAATTCCCTAACCTAGTTATGTATCACTGTCCTCCCATTGTTCATCAGTTTGCTTGAGCAGCCCACAGTAACATCTCTATTGTGAGACTTGTTGTTACAGTTTTTGGCATATCAAATACACCACAGGGAGCTTGCCAGCCTCTGTCATGCTGAGGGGATTCTCTCCATAGCTTGCTGAGCTCTCCAAGAGGGATAGAGGCATTGAACCCAGGTTTACCGCATGGAAGGCAAATGCCCTACCCTCTGTGCTATTGCTCCAACCCTACCTAGTTATGAAATCTTGAAAATAATTTAGACCTCAGTAATGATTTGATATTTATATATAGGTAGGAATATTTGAAACTATTTGTTTTTATATATGTATATATTTATATGTTTATATATGTATATATTTATATATACTACATTTGGAAAATTGTAAAAAAACTGTTCTGCTGTGAAAGTATTTTAAAATCAATGGTATATTATATTATGATAGTTAATCAAAAGGGGCTGGCTTGGTATTTCTTTTAGAGTGCTTCTAATAATGATCTGAACAAGAAAGATGAGTTTTTGGGGCTGGAGCAATAGCATAGCGGGTATGGTGTTTGTCTTGCACTTGGCTAACCCGGGTTCGATTCCCAGCATCCCATATAGTCCCCCGAGCACCGCCAGGAGTAATTCCTGAGTACATGAGCCAGGACTAACCCCTGTGAATCTCTGGGTGTGACCCAAAAAAGCAAAAAAAAAAAAAAGAAGAAGAAAGATGAGTTTTTTCACAACCTCAACCAAAATTGTTTATTATTTTTTTATTCATTTTTGTCACCGAAGCAATATGGCACAATAATGTCAATGTTTATGGTTTTGGTCTACAGTGTACACAGTCACTGTGACTCCACCACTGCTACCAGTGCCAAAGAACTTCCACTACTTTCTTTCACATCTTTCTAGTTTATTTCCTCCCACCTAAACCACCCACCCCCAACTCCTGCAACTTTCTAAGTTCCAGTCTGTAATATCTTTTTCTTTTCTTTGTTTTTTTTTATATGAAACATAGAAGAGTGACAATCCAGCATTTTACTTTCTCCTTCTGACTTCACTGAACACAATACGCTCTAGTTCCATCCAACTTGTAGCACACAGACATTTGAGGTCTTTCCACATCTTGATATATAGTACTGTATTGAATATAGGTGTGAGTGTATCTTTTCAAATTAATGTTTTTGTGTTTGGAAATAGATTCCAAATAGCAGAATTACTGTTTCATAGTGAAATCTTTTTTTCTGGAGGTTAACATGGATTTATCCGGTAGTGATCAGTGGGTTACATTGGACTCATTGCTTGGCAAATGTATCCAGGTGCAGCTCCGTGTATGGGAGTTATACAGTACCAGAAATCAAACCTGGGCCTCCTGCCAAATGAGTTATCTTTCTATCCCTAGAAGTTCTAGTTTTATTTTTTTGATATATGTCCATATGACTTTGCATGGAAACTTTTTCAGAGGCATTCCCACCAATAATGTATAACAGTTATTTTTTGCTGTATCTGCACAAGTACTGGTTGTGTTTTGACTTTTTGATCCAGGTCATTTTCATAGGTGTGAGTTGATATCTCATTTTGATTTGAATTTTCCTGGTATTCATTATATACCTGCGATATCCATTGCATTTCCCTGATATTCTTTATTCAGTGATAATAAACATTATTATATACTACTGGTCATCAGCAATGTCCCTGTAGGGAGAACTGTCTGTTAATTTTATTTTTCCCATTTTATTTATTTATTTTTAATTTGAGTGCCACACGTGGTACTATCAGAGCCAGCTCTGTGCTCAGGATCAAGCCTGGCAGAGATCAAGGAACCATATGTGGTGCTGGGGATTGAATCCAGGATGGAGCATGTAAAGCAAGTGCCCTTTTCACTGTATTATCTCTCCCCTCCTCCACATTTCCTATATTTTTAATGATTTTGAATTTTGGTTTTG